GCACTCCACTCAGCATCAGCTACAGCACCACGCTCAGAAGACCACTGCTGAAGCAAGCGCTGCAAAGCCCTGAAGGGATCCGCCGGCCTGGCCCAAAGCAGCTGCTCCAACTGCATGAAAAGTTCCTCCGAACCATCCTCGGCACCTTGGTCATTCTCAGCCTCGCCGCCCCAATCTTCCAAAAGGCCGTGAAGTCCTTGGAGCAACTTCTCTGTCCGCTTGCGCCTTGTGGCTGCGGCTCCACCGGCGCCACCACGAAGTGGATCACCGCCACCACAATCAGCCAAAGCACCTCCGGCCCCAAGCCTCGCAGCATAATTCGCGGAATCCACTCCATCAAGATCAGCCAAAACACCTCCGGCCCCAGCATCGTTACAAGCAGTCGGCCCGCCACCGACTCCGTCCACAGTGCCAGCCGCCGCAGCGACGCCGGCCCCAGACCCATCAGCCAAAGCAGCTCGCGGAAGAGGACCTCGAGCACCATCGCCTCCTGTACAAATGGTAGCCAAAACGCCACCGGCCCCTTGGTCATCCACCCCCGCAACACCTCCTCCAGCCACCACCAAAGAAGTAGAAGCTGGAGCAAAACTGTTCGCAGCGACATTGGCGCCACTTCCATCAGCAAAACCAAAACGTGGAAAAAGTGCCCGTCGAAGGGCACCGCCACGAGCGCAAACGAAGACCTCGAACTCGAAGACCACCAGCCACGGCCACCCAAGGGCGCCCATGCCCAGGCCCCCAAAGGTGCACAACCTTACGTGCACGACGAAGCTGCCCTGAGGAAGGACCTCGGGCTCGTCGGTGCCGGCGAAGAGCAGCACCTCGATCATGAAACTTGGAACGGAGACGACGCCTAACCCACAGCGTCCAAAGAATCCATGCCCAAAGCAGAAGCAGCCCAATCCACAAGGGGATGCCACTGCAGCTCGCCATGACGGTGCTATTGAAGGGCGGAACTGCCAACCCAAGCAGCCAGCGCCCCATCGCGGAAGCACCAGGGCACCCTGAAAGAGGCCCCATCGAATTTTCTTATACAGCCCGCTGCCAATGATCAACGAAAAGAGCAAGACAAGGCAGCTCAGGCCACATCCGGAGAAGTCTTCGTACTCGCACAAGAGCGAGCCCGCACGCACCCCGAGGAGGTGCTTCTCGCGCGTGCGGTCGCAGTCGTAG